TGTAGTAAAGACATGCAGGAGATGGCACTTTCCTGTGTGTAGTTTTTATTCCAATGAATAGCATAACTTTATTCCATTGCATATTTCTGTCTTTATCAAGTACTCTATCTTTTGAGCCATTAAATATATCTTAAATTAAGAAACTTTTCACCAGGAGTTTCATGAAAATCAGTACGTTTTCAGAAAATATTTTGGTTTCAATTAAAAATACGTTTACTAAAAATATCCCATTAAGCTTCCATATGAACTGCCATCTTGGCTAGAGCAATGGTTCATCTAGTCAAATTTCCCACCTCTGATAGCAAGCAGCAATCTGTTTCCTCAAAAAAAAGGTCTCAAGATTCATAATGAGCAATTATGTTCTACTATAGTGCAAGCATCTTCAGCAATTAATGTGAGTATTAAGGCACATATACACTTCATTATCCTATTTAATTTTACTAAGGATATTCCCATTGTTCATTAATATCAAATTCTTTTTAAAAATCTGACTAGGTTTTTTGTCTTAGCAGTATCTTAAAGTGAGTAATTACTTATGATGTAAAAGAAGTGCTTTGTTTTAATCAGTTTTTAGCCTGTTGCCTTTTTGTTTCTGCTGATGATCTCTTCATCGAGTATCACAGGGAAAAATAGGAGTACCTGATTTGCTTCTCTTTATGATTCATTATTTCATATGCTTCTATTTTGTTTCTTCATTATTTCCCTTTTCTCTAAATGAAATAATCTTAACCTTTTTTCAGTCTCTCTTTAGACCAAAATCTTTCCTTACATAATTTACTTTATAACTTTTATATTTCTTCTATGTTCTTTATGAAATGATCAGAAACAAATTTAACATTCCAAGTTCTGACATTTGGTATATCTAATGGCAGTATAATACATTTGGTATTATTCTAAATTCAAAGTACAAAGTTAATTTTTTCCAATTTTTAAATTTAAATGGAATAGTAGACAAAACACAGAGCTTCAAAACATTTTTAAGAGACATACTGCATAGATATGTATAAAACATGCCCCCCCTTTTCTTCCTTCCTATGATTAATTCTGTTGTTTTGTAACCCCTGAATTATTTTCTCCCGTATCACTATTATATAATTAATCTTGATAATTATTGGTAATTACAATGTGATCTCTTTGTGAAACCACAAAATTATATGCAAACCGTAAATTATGAAAGTTCTTCCTGTGACATTGCCTAGAATTGCAGAAGTATAAAGCCAGACTATAAAGCTGCTGAAGGGTGGGATTTCTGTCACTTGTTCATACCAAATTGAGGGGAAAAAAACCTGCTGGCTATTATGGTTAATAAGCAGATCAGCATTATGATATGGGTTCTGAAACTGATAACTTCCTTGGAATAAATGAGCATAAACCCTAGGAAGAAGAATAGGTTAATTATTGCTGTATTTTTGTTTTCTTTGTATCATTTTCCTGTGTTTCCTGGAAATGCATTCCATTTATTTTCTAGATCTGGAAACTCATCTAGTCCTTTCTGTCTCTGCACAGAAAGGACTTTTGTTTAGATCCTTTGGCTCTTCTTAGTAGCTAATTCATTGTGTTTATTATGTCATGTGAACTATAGACATGCCTCATTTCCTTTTTTTTGTTCCCAGTTTGGGATCTTTGATGCCTTTCTTTTTTTTTTCCACCACCAGCCTTGAAGAGTATGTTCTGGGATTGTTTTCATCACCCCTTTCAGAATGAAAAACATTCACATTTCCTTGCTTTCCTCTCCCTGTGAGAGAATCCTGCTGATTTCTCAATCATGCTTAATGGCTTTGTTCTTTTAAAACTAGCCCCATTCTGTGAGACAAAGTCCATCAGAGCCTAGTAAAAGGTAATGTTGCCACTTTGATGGGGATTGCATCAGTTCTCTGCAAGCTGCTTGGAATCTTTTGTATTTTCCATACTGTGGTTGTAGTTGAATTAGGGACTGCAAATTTTCACTTTTACCAGCTGTTTTTTCCCTCCCTCCCTCTACCTCTCCTGTTTCTACCTCCATATTTACAGATCTATTTTAACTGTGCAGTATTTACACATAATATTTTTTATTATTGTATGCTGCTATAATATAGTAACCCCAGTACCCCAATCTGTATTTTCAGTGAGCGTTCTCAGATAAAGGACATTTTACTTCTTTTCTAAATTGCATTCATCTCCACTTCAAAGTCCATTATACTAACTGGTAGGGGTGTGCAAAATGGGCTATTTTCAATTCAGATTCAGCCCAAATCAGGGACAATGATTTGATTTGTTGATTTGGATCACAGTCCCTGATTCGATTCAGCCAAATCCAAGCCTGAAGATTTGATGCTGATTCAGAGAATCAGCGATTCAGCCATAGACACAGCTTCAGATGTCTTTTCTACATACCTCGAGGTATCAGGTGCGGCTTGTGAATGCTGCAATACTGGATGGATGGAGCATCCCACACAGGAGTGGGGGAGGGGGAGCACATGTTCAGCAGCAAACCTGCAAGTGGATCAGAAGTACTTTTGGTCCACTTCCTGGTCTTCTGGGGAGCATGTGGGGGTCCCCCTCCATGCTCCCCTTGCTTGGCGATTGGTTATGGGGGGACCCCAGATGCCCCCCTAGACCCGGTAGGCACCAGTCACTAAGCTGAGGAGGTGCAAGGGTGCCCCCCAGCACACTCCCTGGCAGACCTGGAAATAGACCACAAGTGCTTCTGGTCCACTTCCAAGTCTGCTGCTGAGAGCACTGGGGAGCCCCCCGCACTCCTGTGGGATGCTCCATCCACCCCAGCATCTCAGCATTCATGAGCCGCCTGCTACCTTGAGATATGTAGAATAAACATTTAAAGCTGTGTGTATATCAGAATCTCTGAATCTTTCCAAATCAATTTGGAAGGTTCTGATTCGATTCAGAGAGATTCAAGGGTCATCTGATTCGATCTGCATTCAGAGATTTGGCCACCAAATTAGGCCAAATCTCTGCCGAATCGAATCAGGGACCAAAGTTTTGCACAGCACTACTAATCGGCATTATACTAACATTGTAACAGCAATACAGACTTCCATGTTTGCTACTGTCTTTCCAGTTACATCAGAAGGGTAACAGAGACAAATAAGGAAGCCCAGGAGCTTTCAGGATGTGAAAGATCATGCCTGAAGAACATAAGCAAGGCAGTCCTCATTTTCTGTCTTTTTTTAACACTTCCAAAATGTTCCTGCCTAAGGAGTGCAATAGCTTTCCTGGACAATAATAAACACTGCTTATCCACAGAAAAACAACACCATAGAATTAGTGAAAGCTTTTCCACTGCCGGTGTTCTCCAAGCCTTGTATGGTTCTTGAAGGACCCTGTGTATGGGTGGAAGAGTAATACGATCTCTATGCCAGTTCAACTCCTACCCCTTCTGAAGAAACTGCTAAGAATACCATTCTAATGGTGGTTTATAGAGCTGGGCTAAATATTTATAGCAAAATATTTTAAAACTGAAATCCAGTTGTCTTTATGCTGAGATCTCCAGCCTTAGACCATCAGAGGTTGGAGACCTTCTCTACTGGGTGCAAGATGGCTATCATAAATGGAGGGGTGACGCTGAAGGAGATAGCTAAAGGTTGAGGTTGCTTTGTATGTGCAGAGGTGGAGAAACAGTGGTGATCTTATTTATTTATTTATTTTTTGATGAGAGAGAGCTGGATAGGGCCCACCTTACTGTAGGACCAACCAAATAGAAAGATGTCTCTGCCTTCAAACTGTACTCAGTAATAATAGTACTTTCAGCTTTTTTTTCCGACTTGCTACCTAAATATTAGGTGTGTGATGGCAGAACTGTTACAGCACCGGAGACCTAAGTTAGAGCCTAGTCTGGTTTATTGCCAAAGACTACTTTGCATTGGCCCAGTTGTAAATGGGTACCTGGACATTTGGTCTGGGGAGTCACGGGCAGCCACACGTGATGTTGGCACCATCAGTCTCTTGTGTGATGTTGTCTACAGAAACTGGTATGCCTTTACAATTTTAGGCATGTGGACTGCCTGGCTTGAGAGGACCCTTGATCTTGTTATAAACATTAAGTAATAAATCTTGGCAGCACCCTAAAGATATCAGTACATATTACAGATGGGGAAGCTAAGATATAAAATGACTGGATAAGTCAAGGAATATTTCTGAAAGGCTCCTGAGTGACCTGCAAGACTGTGTCCCATTTCCAAAGTGGCCTAAGCATTGGCAAATAGGACTCATGCATCTAAGTAGTTTATTAAAAAATGCTATCCAAGGACTTTCTGAATTTTTTTCACATAAATTATGCAGAGACTCCCTATACCTGAAGAAGGGTGGCTGCACCCGAAAGCTTGCTAAGAACTTTTTTCCAACTACTCAGATATCACATCTACTCAAAGAACCTTGCCTGCCTATGTCCTTAGACCAACATGGCTAAAACCAAAAGCCCAGCCAATAAGCAACATGGAATCCATTTTGATGCTGTGCTTTTGCTTTAAAATTGTGTACATTTATTTATTTGCTAAGACCCATGATTCAAGAAGTCGCTGGATATTCGTGGGGTTCTTTTGTATCCAAGGCTTGTAATGTAGTGTTCTCAGCAAACATAGGTTCATTACATACTGTGTATTTGATGCTGTGGATATAGCTGAACTTGTATGGTTGGTACGCATTTATGTTTTGCCTAAAAGTGGCAAACTCTCCTTTTATTAGGCTACTGCTTTTTACATTTTTTGTTTTCATTTCTTTCAAAGAAAGTAAACTTTCCATCTTTTTTATGTCAGCTTTTTTTGGTGTTTGAAATCTTTAAAATATTTTGCCAGGATTTAATTTATTTAGCTACAACTTCAGGAAAAACGCTGGTTAAGCTTTCATGTAGAAGTTTGCTTTGGAACATCTGGAAGGCTTTAGGGAAAAGGCAATGATGTGAAGTGTGGATTGTCAGCAGGGGAGAACTCGCCTTAAAAAATGAAAGCTTTAATGCCTGAGAAAATGACAGCTTATCTGATTGCTCTCTAATCTTTTTTTTTCAGCACTGGCTGACAGAGCTAGAGATATTTGCTATGATCTTTGCAGCTGCTGTCCATGACTATGAACACACTGGAACCACCAACAACTTTCATATTCAGACACGGTGAGACTCTTGTGAAATAGTTGAAGGAGTGAGCTGTGTAGGGAGGAATGTTTGCAAAGAGCAGCACAAGAGTAGATGGGAAAGAAGTGCCAGAGCTTTTGTCTTAATTTGTGAACAAGATTAACTTCCCTATGCTATATTTTATATTCTGTTGCTCAACCATTTACTGTGGAATCCACAACTGTAATCTTAGGTGCAATGTCTCTCATTTTAAAGTGAGGTATATTGAACATCTTCTTTTCCCTATAAAGAAGCAAGCATACTGATCTGTTTAAATCTGAAAATCCAAAGGCTTAGTCAAGTGAAAATGGATATTAATAAAAAAATCAGAAATTAACAGAAAATACAGCCTTTGCCAATACCTTTCCCTGTATAATACCACGCTTGCAGCAATAGAATGTATTTTATGATGCTGCAGTGACAAGTCATGATACCTGTTTTAAAAACACTGGGGAACACTGGAGCCATCAGTTAAATGGCCAATAATTTGAATGGACGAGGGCCATTTTGTAAGTAGACTATTTTTTTGAGATATGTACAGGGAGATTTTCAGATGCACAAAAGGCAGTTGGATGAGTAATGTCCATTGACTTCCAGCGTTAGGTAGGTCTTTAACTACTATTTGTGACTTTGACAATATTCCCCTTTGTGACAAAGGTCAGATATTCTCAGCAGTAAGTCTCTTGGTATCCATGGTTACACCATAAATTCTTTATATGAAATAACTGATTCATTTCTATTGCCAAGTGCTCTTTATATAAAAGCACAGTCTTGTGTGAAGGGGCACTGGGAAGGGGGAGGGGACACAGGAAGGCGAGTATGTTTTGGGCATACTGAGAAGAGCCTTCTGCCTCTGTGCTAGCCACAATCCAGTCCTTGAACTCCCAACATGCAAGGGTTAAATAATTCTCACATTCTCCAAAGGGATCTAGGAGAGTTAGGGAAAGCTGGAAGTGTAATCTTTCCTCTGCAACATTGGCCATGAGAATTAGGACAGCATGTGTAGAAGAAATACACAGCTCCCTCCAAATAGGTTACATGGGGAACCACTCAGGATCATGCTTACCCAGTCCTCCCATTAAATGTCACTGAGCAGTTTTCAGATGCAGACCAATCCAACCTTTCAGACCAGAGATCAGCATTCGCAGATCCATCTATACTGTGGAGCTAAAAATAAAGCAGTTCACTCAGGAAGCAGATCTATTTGCATTTCTGGTCAGGTCAAACTACTTTAGAACCAGTGGGGTGTAAATACACTTGTGTCTTGTTTATGCTGCTTGAATATTCAAAAATCTACTGGAGAGATGGACAGACAAACAAGATACTGCAAGGTAAATGTACTACTTGTTAACTCTTCTGTTGTAACTGCCCATGTGTACACATTTACTTTTAATGAAACTGAAACATTGTTTCACACCTCTTGGTACCAAGTTTAGGCACCTACACTGTTGCATATATCTTGTAAGTCCATAGTTGGAAAAAATAATACCTCAATACAAATTTAACCTGAGTTAGAACTGAGCAAAAAGCCTCACGATTTCATCCAAAAATCATATATGCTCTTTTAAGTCTTTAATGCAGAGCTTAAGTGAGTCTTAAGCAATGAAGAGGATTTTAAATTAGGGTGGATTACTATCATTTGGCTTTTTTCCAGCTGGCCCAATCACACTGCATACAGTAGTACAGCAGCTGTAAAATAGCATTCTTTCTCACATACAACATGGCCCAGAATATAAAACACATCTTGTTTTTGAAAGGCAGAATGAAAAAAAAGGTATTTCCTTGTAATAAGTTAATGAAAGCAGTGGCTAGGGAACTGAGCCTGCTTATTGTTCTGCTCCATGTGGTTTGCTGCAGATTTTATTTTCAGTTTTACCCAGAAAGTGGTAGAACCTGCTCTTACCCTCAGGTATAATGCATGTTCCAATTTCCAGCAACTGGTTTTGGGAGGGAAAGGTGTATGTTATGTGTGAGAAAATATGGTATATATTTCACAATAGTTAGTCAAAGTTTTATGCAATCAAGAATCTTAGTTTATGTAAAGAACCATATATTTTTCTATGTTCTTTTAAAATTTTAGGTCAGATTCAGCCATTCTGTACAATGACCGGTCTGTGCTTGAAAACCACCATGTAAGTGCGGCTTATCGTCTTTTGCAAGATGATGAAGAGATGAACATTTTAGCTAATCTCTCAAAAGATGACTGGAGGTAAGAATATGCCGCAAGACCAATGGAAAACTTGCAATGAGAATGTTTGCTATTCCTAGTTTTATGAATAATTATATGTATTTTTTATTTTAAGAAAATAGGGACTTAAAAAAATGTCTTATTAATGTCTAAATGTCTAAATAAATGTCTTATTTATTTGCCCTTTCACTTCTTGCTCCTTTATTCCTAGCATCATGAGCAGAAGGGGTGTGCAAAACAGGCCATATTCAATTCGGATTCAGATTTGGCCTGAATTGGGAACAGTGATTCTATTTGGTGATTCGGATCACTGTCCCCGATTCGATTCAGCCAAATCTGAATCTGAAGATTCAGCCATAGCCACAGTTTTAAAAGTTTTTTCTACATACCTCAAGGTACCAGGCGCAGCTCATGAACACTGCGATGCTGGGGCAGATGGAGCATCCCACAGGAGTGTTGGGGGCCCCCCACATGCTCAGCAGCAAACCTAGAAGTAGACTGGAAGCACTTCTGGGTCCACTGGGGAGCATGCTTGGGCCCCTACCCTGCGCCTCCCTGGCTCAGCAATTGGCCACGAGGAGACCCTGGGTGCCCCCCCCAGATCCAGGAGGCACCAGTTGCTGAGCCAGAGGGGCACGGGGGGCCCCCCCAGTGTGCACCATGGCGAACCCGGAAGTGGACCAGAAGTGCTTTTTGTCCACTTCTGGGTCTGCTGCTGAATGTACTGGAGAGCCTCCCATGCTTCTGTGGGATGTTCCATCTACCCCACCATCGCAGCATTCATGAGCCTCCTAGTACCTTGAGGTATGTAGAAAAAACACTTAAAATTGTGTCTATGTCTGAATCTCTGAATCTTTACAAATCTATTTGAATTGATTCAGAGGGATCCGATTCGATTCAGAGAAATTAAAGGGTCTCCTGATTCAATTCAGATTTGGAGATTCAGCCACCAAATTGGGCCAAATCTCCACCGAATTGAATTGAATCAGGAACTGAAGCTTCTCACAGCACTAATGAGCGGTGGATCAAGATTTGTTATTTAGATTTTCTTTGTTATTTAGATATTCTAACAGGCTCTCATTGATATTCCTTTTCCCACATATGGACATTAAAGAATATCAGACTGGACTGATGTTTTACTGTACCTTACAGCACAGCATATGTAAACTGTGACCACTCTAAGGCCCCTTTACGTTGCCATCACATTAGATATGGAATTTAGTTTAAATGAGAATGAGGTCAAGCAGAATATAAAGTGGGGAAATTTACATACCAAGGAGTCAGAAAAAAGCAAACTTGAAAATAGGGGTGTATGTTGTTTACTTTTAGGAGTATGCAAGTAGTTTAACTAAATTGTTTAATTCAGTTTAAATCTATTCTGGGTTGCTTAATATTTCTTTTCCTCATTAGGGCCTATTTTGAAGCTGCCATATGGGAAGCATCTGTGGAAAAGAGGCCCTTATTTAGATCCATGATAATACCTATCCTATCAGATGTAACCTCTGATTTTAGAGGCCTCCATTTTTACAATGCCCATTTGAAACACCTTGGGCCCATTTTGCAGAAGCACTAAGAGATCACAACTGCATCTAAACACAAGGGGAACTTACAGGAAAAAGAACTGGACATGAAGTATCTCAAGATATACGATAAAAGAACAGAGCCTTCTAGATCAGAAGTTATTTCTGAGATTTATGGTTTAAGTTATTTTGCTTGAACCGGACAATATTTGTCTTTATTCATGTGAATGTACCTGATAGCTTAGAGTGCTGACAGATGTGGAGGAAGAGGAATCCGCTTTACTAGAAGGGGAATCGCGTCAGTTTGACCTGGCTCCCCAGTGTCTATGTAGCTCACGTGCTTCTGTGAGGCTTTTTGGTGCTTTTATCTAATAGCTGATCCAATCTTTTCCACAGCTGATTCAATCAGCTATTAGGTAAAAGTGCCAAAAAGCCACACTGAAGCATGGGAGCTATACAGATGCTGGGGTGTCAGGTCAAACTGATGCAATTTCTCTTCTGGGTGCACGCTGCTTGTTTTTTTTTCCACGTCTGTAAGCACCCTTAAGGATCCCTACAATGAAAAGCCCAATCCCTGGATCTATGAAGGAGTCAGGCATGCACTTAAATGCCTTTTCTGAAGTGAGGTCATATTAAGACTTGAGATTTGTTAATAACAGGAAAAACTGAAGATAGCTGTATTTCCCAATTCTGTCAGTGCATGTGGGGGTTTTCAGTTTTACAGTTTTTTTCAGTTTGTGCTTAATACTTCCTGTTTGGGAATGTGTGTTCAGTACAGAGTTAGGGGTGGATTTTTCTGTCCATTTGGCAGAACAGATTTCTTTGGGACTTTTATAGGGCAAGCATCTTGAAGAGCCTTCTTAGGAGAAGGGGGCTTAGGAAGACGAGATCTTAGACTCCAATTTAATTTTGT